CTACCGGACTATACGTGACGATCAACTGGCCTATGTTTGTTCCAAACTCCTGCGCCTCATGGCTAATCAGTCTGCATTACACACTTTTTCGGCTATCTTATTGGGGAGGGTTTGCAATTTTGCGCACGCTCACTTGTTTTCTTTGTACTGTTCTGCATTACCTTATTTATATACCCCATGGACGTCGCAGGACTGTTGCATTGGCGAATTTGTGGTTGCACAGTGTCCGCGTATTTATGCGTTATGACTTTCAAGTCTCAAAATCATTCAAAATAAGGGTTAGGCGTACTATTGTAGAACCGGCGAAGACATATTGTAGATCATATTGACGACTACTCTACGCCAGAGCAAGCCATGGAACTACTCGTCAGCATCCATATCATCTGACACCGCACTTCGAGCTTGAGACAAGGCTCTTTCCTGCTTGATCCGAACAGCAGCATCGGCTGTCTCCTGATGCCTGATACCACCCTCTTCTGAGTCATCATCGCTTGCAACAGTGATACCACTCTTGCGCCCTTGCCGACGTCGCCTCCGGGGGTTCCCATCAGCATCCAGCTCGTCATCCTCCGCTTCCCGCTGGGAGGCTGCTTCGGCGCGACGCACTCTGCGCAGCAGGACAGGATCGCTGCGCAGATCTTCTGCGGTCAACACAACCGAGCAGACAGGACACTTGACGGAGCGAATACGATTTCTTCGGCCGCGTGACGGAGGTCCAGGCACGGTTGTGGAACTGTGCGCGATCATATCGGTAATGGCCTCGCGCTCGAAACTATGCGGACATTTGGTGCTGGTGACGGGGTCCCGGAAGGGAAGGAGGGTGAGGGGACATTTGAGAGAGATGCGCTCGCGCTCGATGGCGATCTCGTCCGAGTCTGCGGGCGAGGGGCTCCGGCGTTGGCGGGTGCGTCGGGCCGACGTCTGGTCGGTTGTGGCTGTGGAAGTTGCGTGAGGATCTTCCTTATGCGCGAACCATGTGGAGGCGTGTGGAAGGGGCGGGATGTCGTCACCGGGGTGTTTGGCTTCGTGCACGATGCGGTAGAAGCCGATGTAGGCGTTGTTCGTGGAGTATCTGTATCTATTACTTTCGGCCCTTCTTCATTCTTCGTCCAGCCCTAGGCAATGCAGTACGTACCTCTGTGTCAAGGATTGACCGGTCCACCGCGCCGACTCCTCGTCCAACTTCTGACCTAGTCGCCGGCTAGGCGGGATACCGGTCATCTGCGGCTCAGGCGTCGCTTCGTAGTCCTCATCACCGACCTCTTCGGGGTCCTGGTCCTCCTCGTCATCGCCTCGTCTCCGTCTCGTCCGCCGACCCCGTAGTCCCGCAGCTCCAGCCCCAGCGCCCGCAACGGTAGCCTCCTCCGCCTCCTTGGCCATATCCGCCAGCACCCCCTTCAACCCCTCAAGCTTCACCTCCGCATCGATCGTCTGCCGCATCCGTGCCTCCAATTCCTCCGTAACACTCTGAACCTGCTCCTCCAACCGCGCAAGCCGGTTTATCTCCTCCCCATCATCATAATTGTCCTCCTCCTCATCCTCCTCCTCCTTTGCACCGCCCCCCTCCGCAGCAGGCGTCTCCCCATTCGCCCTTTTCCGCTTCCGCGCCCTCTCCTTCTGATACCGCACCCGCGCATCAGTAAGCCGCTCGTTGACCTCCCCCGCCGAATCGGTGAGTTTCTCCTCCGCGCGCTGGATGTGCGTTTTCAGCTGCCGCAGGGACGGCGCGTTGAGGAGCGCGATGATCGCATTGTGCCCTGCGGCGTTGAGGGGCGCGATGGGCGGCTCGTAGGCTGGGAGGGGAGGCGTTGAGGCTCGGGAGTGGGCGTGTCGGTTTGTGCTTGCGCTTGTGCGGTCGTTGCGTGATGCGTGACGGTGGCGTCTTGTGTCGGGTGTTGCTGACATTTTATCTAATCTTGGTCTTGGGAGGGTTGCTCGTGGTATAGAGGTTGAGCTGCTATGACATGATGGCGTATGAGATTGGAATGATAGACTTAGAGCTTTTCAGGTATGGTCGCTGTGTTGGCTTCTGCGATTACTCCGTATTTCGCACTGATAAGGTCAAGGTCACTAGAAAGGACGCGACGCGCTCGCGCTAGTCCTGTTTAGGATATACATCTTGGTGCCTGGAATTCTGGGCAGCGAAAGGGTTATATTTTACAGCTTGCGAATGGAATATTTAAAGTCTCCCCCAAAGATTTTCATGAAACAATGCGCGGATCTCTACGCCGCAGTTACACCTTGTAGAAGCAGAATGCATGATAGAAGCCTAGATCATGTCAGTCATGCCACGCAGACAACTCGGTCAGAAGAACTCACTGGCCGCTTCCTTTTCCTCCTCGGTCATCAGCAGTTCGCCAGTGGCTCGATCACGGACACCCATGCGCTCGCTCAAGGGGCCCAGCTCCGGATCATCCTTTTCATCACGCCAAATATCCAGGAATGGCTTGCGGTACTGCAACTCGAGGTTGTAATCCTCCGTAAGACTGCGGAAAATTAGTCTCGCACATCAAAAGTAGTTGTCCAAGACTCACGCTCGGAATGCTTCCCAGGGAACAACGTATTCCGGCACCTCTTCAACGGCCTCTTCCATGAAATAGCTGTACTTCCATCCGAAAGGAGGACGGAAAATACCATCCTCAGGAGTCGTAACAGGGAACCGGACCCGGTAGATCGGGTTCCCCCATTCTACCTTGCCGTCATCCTCTTCCACCTCCCCGTCCTCAGGAGTCTCGTCTGTCTTTTCCTTTTTGGCTTGCGCCTGCCGCTCCTTCTTCTTTGCATTGATTTCTGCTACTCGCGCGCTGATCACGTCCGAGTTCGGGCAAACACCGAGGAATCGGCCTCCCTTCCTCAGACATCCTGCAACATTGCGCAGCATCTGCCTCGCTTTTTCTTCATTTTCAAAGGCGTAGTGGATCGTGAACATTGATGCTACCACGTCAAATCCGCCCCCGCCCCACCGTGAGCTCATGACAGACCCCCCTGGGCCCACATTGGGATCAATGCCAACCTGCTGGACAATATCGACATCCCCTAGCCATTCTCCGAAGCAGTCCTTGGGCTGGAATTCGGCATGAAAGATGGGATTACGCCGACCGCGACTACCACGTCCGGATTTCATCCCATTGTAGCGTTCGCGGGCTTGGACGATCGACACCTCTGCCGGATCAAGACCGACGTACAAATCAACTGGCTGAGGTGCCAGCTGCCACTTCCCAAGGTCACCACCCTTGCCACAGCCCAAGTCGATCACAAGGAGTCGCTTCTCCTCTACCGGAGGCAGGCCGCCGGCTTCGGCCCAGTCCTTGGTGCCGTTGAACCGCGCAAGAAATTCCTCGTCCGGAGAAAATTTCTGGATAAGGGTACTCTTGACCCAGTTGTTGAAGCTCCGCAGGCCCTTGATCTTACTTTCCGTCTTCCGCCACTCCCTTCCGCGCTGCGGCACTGCGTTGTAGTGCTGACGAACAACATCTGCCACTCCGCGGCCCTGGGAAACCCGCATCGCCTCTTCAACCTGGGCACGCTCTCTTTCTTCTTGCCTCCGGCGCAACGTCTCCCGATCTACCAGTCCCATTCGAGCCCCACCACCGGGCCGTTTGCGCTGCCGGGGTTGTTCCTCCGGAGTAGGAGACCGTGGAGGTGGAAGGGGCGAGGCGGATCGGTAAGTTGAACCATTGCGATTGGCAGCTGAGGCGGTCTCATCTGCGTCACGGCGAGAGTACGCCGAAGGAGGTGTTCTACCGCGCTTTCGCAGCTTTTGGTGACGTTCTTCCATGCGCTTCCGCTTGGACACGGGGCGGTCTGGAGCAGGCTGTGATTTTTCGGACGCATTCTCCTCTGCGGGCACCTTCCTCTTTTTATCACCTTGAGATCCATTCTGATCGGTAGGCGGAGCGACCTCGTCTGGCCGATTCGGCTTGTCTGAAGGATCTGCTCTGGGCTTAGGTGTCGCCGAATCGGAACGGTTTTCCATGGTTGTAGTTGCTTTTTTCGGGTGATTCTCTGCCGTAGATGTCAAAGGTTGTCTATGCGAAGCCTCCTGCGCTGCGAGATTTGCAGGCGACTGTAAGTGGGTTGAGATGGAGGGAGGAGTTCGCGTAGTTGATTGTGCTGGCTGTGACTCAGCATACAGAACTTCTGCAGATGCTGTAGTCTTTGAATCGGGGTCAGGACGTCGCTGTCATTTCAAGTAAAGTCAGCGACAAAGCGTTAAAGCAACAGTGAGCTGAACTTGACATCAAGAATTGAAGGACAATGGCTCCCGCAGAATCTGTCCAAATTGAGTACCAAAAAAGCAGTTCGCGGATTCAACGATTAAAGAATCCACAGCAAGTATGAACCAGAGGAGATACTCACAAGATCAGTAGTGTTATTATTTTCCAAAGTTGCACCGTGAATCGGCTCCGAAGATGAGAAGCCGGCATGGGGCTGATCGGAGGCGAGGCGACCCCGGCGAGACCGAGCTTCGTCTCCATCACGCTCCTCCCAACTGTCCCGCGCTGGATCATACATGCTGCCACCGGGGATGCGCCGCGCTTATTGTTTCTCGTCGAACATGGGATTTTGAAGATTCTCCAACAATAATTAAGAACATCTTGAAGAGATAAAGGACGAGAAAGAACGTTCTTTCTGCGTGCGATGATGGTCCTGCTCATACTTCTGGTATCCCTGGTTAAGTCTAGCGGCTGCCGTGTTCCCCTTACCGTATCCGGCGCGATCGTTTGCGCAGCAAGCGTGGTTCAATATCAGATTGCCTGATGCAGCAGACAGCACATAATCGTTATAGCTGACAATTCATATGCAAATTTATGCGACAGATGAGAAGACCTCGGTTGGATTGTATATGTACAGTAAAGACAAACAGGGTATATATGGACAGAGTGACGAACCAATGGCAACGTGCTTGCATAGCCAATGTTGAGCCGAAAAGAAAGAATAGGAAGAAATGCGCAAACGCCAGCATATCATACGCTCAAGCTGAAGAATGAATCCGACCATCATGGAACAACCGGCTTTTTTCCGTGAGGAGACTTGACGTTCAGCACCTGTCGCATCCGCCGAAGTTTCGCCCACCACTCTCGATCACTGGCATTCTTTTGTTCCTCGTTCACCTCGTCCACCACCGGGAAGTCACCAGACGGTGTCTCTGAGACAGCACGAAGGGTGTCCATGGAAGCCGATGACCTGACCTGCCGGCGGTGTTTGACTTTGAGAGCTTGAATAAGTAGTTCCCATCCGCTTCTCAGCTCTGCCTGCTTCTCGGTTGACTTGCCAGTCCCGCTTTGAGCCTTTCCGCTGATCCAAGGGCAATACTCCATATGCTCGTTGGCAACATCCAATGTATCGTAGACCGTGGCATCCCCATTATCCTTCGGCTTGTACATCCACAGGCCCAATCGTCGAAAACATGCACTGCAGCCTACCAAGCCGGCAGTTTCATTGGAAACTGCATCCCAGCCGAAAAATGCCAGCGCAAAGGCAGTTCTGTTGATAGGCTTTGATTGTTCAAGTGTCACTTGGGAGTTCTTTTCCCGAGTTTCTTCGTTTGACTGTTGCTCCTGCGATTGGTCCTGCTGCTGGAGTTGAGACTCAGTGGAGCGCAACCCATCGCCAGTTTCGAAGCTTTCTCCCGGCAATATCTTGAGAACATCTTCTAGATTGAATGACTCGGGTGTTTGAATAATATCCCCAGCCGGTAGCTTATTGGCAATTTTTGTAATATTTGAATACCGTTTCTGAAGACTAGCGATTGCCGTATCGGCGTTGGTGAGTGGTAGTCGATGGATCGTAGCTTCATTGATCAGTGAAAAATCATAAAAAAACTCAAAAAGCATGTGCTTGACCAACCATCGCAGCCTCTGTTTCTCCAAGGACAATGTTCACCATGCCCTTTGACCAGCAGACTCGCATACTCTTCTACCAGCTTGGCACCTTCGGATGGTCAGTTTGACGGCGATTGAAGCCACAAATGTACCAATGCACTTACGGACTTCCTTCCTCTCCTGGACTTTGTCGAGATCGTATCCATCCAACTCGTCAAGTTCGTCCGGTAATTTGACGACCACTGAGCCGCCACAGCTTCCCACACACGACACCCGCGAAACATCTGTGCAGATCCACCCTCTTTTGGCCCATTCAACCTCACTTATCGCAGCCGGTTTGGAAGACCATCGATCGACGCGGCGAAAGGTCTCTAATCTCTCCAAGAAGCGTTCGCGGTCCCACGGGACGAAGCTAGGGCGTGTTGTTGATGAAACGGAAGAGTCTTTGGAGCTAGCTCGAGCTTTTAGAATCGATCTTCCGACCGCTGCGAAGTCGCTTTCATCTTGACTGCTCAGTCGGACCTTCTTGATGGATAGATCTGCGGGAAGTTCGCGAGCTGTTGTTGGAGTTGCGGGGGTCTTTTTGGACGCAGGTTCAGCGGTCGATGGCTTGGTCAGAGATTCCAGCACTCGATGAAACTTTCGCTTTTTGGTCTCGACGGCGTATGACATTTCCTGATGTGGGAGTGAGCTGATTCAGCTTGAGAACAAACTTGAAGCTCTTGAACTATGGAGATCGACCTGCGATGATGATATTATCAAAATGACGCTAAACCCAAGACGGCAATTGAATTGTTGCTCATCAACAACGGGTTCCTGAGAAATCAGGTGTCTACAGTTTATTCCTCGACGGGCCATTGACAGAGCAAATTGGAGTTTATTTGAACTATGTTAAGTGCTGATCATATGGTATCACTTTCATAAGATCCCGATGTGACAAGACAATTGCACCAACCCTGTTATGCTATATTGAAGTATTCCTCATATCAGAGTATCGAATCATGCAATACTGATTGGCGCTTCGGCGCTTCGGCCGTTCCGATCTCCGTCCACAACGGTCATTCGAGGGTCCTGAAAGCTCATCTTCCATTCTTCCTTCTCAGCTTTGTACATATAGGGAGTTCAGCATTGATTCTCCCTGCTGTTGGCATCACCATGGCTTCTTTGGGAGGCTCGGTGCCTATGTTCCGGAGCCTTGCGCCCCGCTTCTCCAAAGAATTCTTCACTTGTCGTCAATGCCTCGGACGGAGCCAGAACTATGCGACTAAATCCGCATTTCGCAAGCGGTTTGCTGGCCTGTCCTTCGGCCAGAAGTCCTCCAATGCAAGTCCGAACCCGCTCCGCGTGACGGCTACAAGGTTTTTCTCGCCTATCCTACGGAGATCCGTCTCTGGGTCAGCCGTGGCCGGTGCGCTGGAGCATGGAGCTTCTAAAGCCAAGTCCAGCTTTCCCAAAGTGTCTGACAAGATTGTGGCTTACTGGCTGCTGGGGAGTGCGGCCAGCGTATTTGGTATTGTCGTCTTTGGTGGCCTTACAAGGTTAACAGAATCAGGGTACGTCCCGCTTTGTGCACCGCAATTTGAGCGACACTTGCTGACCATATTTGTTCATAGTTTGAGTATTACAGAATGGCGTCCCGTCACCGGCTCCCTCCCTCCAATGAACGCAGAAGACTGGGAGTCTGAGTTTGCAAAGTACCGTGCATCCCCGGAATTCCAGCTGCTGAACCCGAATATGAATCTCTCCGAATTCAAGTCAATTTACTATATGGAATGGATTCACCGTCTCTGGGGTCGTTTTGTTGGCCTGTCATTTGTGCTTCCCGCTATCTATTTCGTCGCAAAGAAGAAGGTCAGCAAGCCCATGTCGCTACGTCTAGCAGGCATCGCGGGTCTGATCGGCTTCCAAGGCTTCATCGGTTGGTGGATGGTTAAGTCCGGACTCAAGGAAGACCTCTTTGCGCAAGGCAGCCACCCCCGCGTGAGTCAGTATCGGTTGACGGCTCACCTTGGGGCTGCCTTTGTCTGCTACACTGCCATGCTCTGGAACGGTCTTGCTATCCTGCGGTCTCATCGGCTCCTGGCTGACCCCGAAGCTGGTATAAAGCTGCTGGACTCGCTGCGTGATCCCAAGCTTAAGATCTTCCGTCGATCTGTTGCCGGTCTGGCCCTTCTGGTTTTCGCTACGGCCATGTCCGGTGCCCTAGTTGCCGGCCTGGATGCTGGTCTGATTTACAATGAGTTCCCATTCATGGGCAATGGTCTGGCTCCTCCCAAGTCGGAGTTGTTTGATGAGCGTTATTCGCGACACGAGGATCGGTCTGACCTCTGGTGGCGCAACATGCTGGAGAATCCTTCTCTTGTGCAACTGGACCATCGTATCTTGGCTATGACCACGTTCACTAGCATTATGGCTCTGTGGGCTTATTCTCGCCGCTCTCCAACCGTGAAGCGGTTGCTTCCACCTGTCGCCAAGAAGGGCCTACACGGTGTGGTTGCATTTGCTTGGGTCCAAGTTGGTCTAGGCATTTCAACCCTTCTCTACCTTGTCCCTACTCCTCTTGCCTCTGCTCACCAAGCAGGCAGTCTCTTCCTTTTGACCTGGGTGCTTGTCTTGGGCAGCCGTATCTGGCATCCGTCTAGGACGGCGAAGTTGCTTCAGATGGCTGCAAAGGCTCGTGGCCAAGCTGTACACAATGCTGCTGCTCAGGCCGCCCATAAGCTGTGAAGCTGCTACTCATCACATGTTCTTGAAGGCAAACGATCTGCTCCTGTAGCTTACAGACGTCTAGATTTCTCTGTATACTATGAATACCTCCCCTTTCAAAAATGTACAATATTGTTAGTCCAGCGATTGGAAATAAAGCCATTTGAAGTTTGGAGTCACTCTTTAGGATTTTCTATGACAGGCGGGGCCTGTAGACGAAACCCTACAGGCTACAACAGGTATTCCCCATGTCCCAGCATACTTTACATTTCTTATACTGAGAGATCGTCACGGTCCGCAGAGCGTCCCAACTACCGTCAATGTCCCACTCGAAGTATCAGGAGCAATTCGAGACCCTCTACGTACACTCGGTGACCCTCAAACGGTGATCTTGGCGGACGAGACTATCCAGCGGAATTATTGAATAATCCACTCAGAATCATCCAGTACTTCAAAGTAATCAAGACTCGAATTGACCAGTGGGCTTACGCTCAGCCCTTCGAGTTTTCCAATGAGGTGGTTTCTTCAACATTTGATTGATTCATAGAGAAGGTGCCAATCTCCTGAGCATCCGTCTCTCTGGCCCTGCGCTCAAGGTAAGCCTGAAGGGCATGACTGGCTTGCTGTTGGGCATAGTCATGCAATTCCCGACTAGTCATACTCATGAAATTCGCAACATCCTCGTCTCGAGGCGCAGCCCCGCCAGGTAAATGTTCTCGGTCAAGGCCGTCCTCCTGGATGGCTAAACCGATGGCTTCAATACTAAACGCCAAAACGTTCCGAGCCGCCGTCAGGACCTCATCGTCTGCAGAGCTTGGTATCTTCGAAGATGACTCCTCGTTCTTCGTTTTCTTTCGATTGCTTGACTGTCCCCTCCTCAACTGACCTGCGTCACCCTCTTCCCTCTTGAGCGACACTCTGCCGCGTCTCATACGGGCGATGAGAGTCTGGTCAATAGCTCCCGTATGGACGCGTCCGTTTCCCCGGTGCGTGCGACTGCAGCCGTTGGCAAGGATACATCTGTAGCATGCCTGCCAGCCGCATCCCTCGCAGCGGGACATGCCTTTTCCATTGCGTGTGTTGCACATGTCGCATTTTGCAGTGTGGCAGGCTATCTCCTTCCATTCGGTCTCGACCGATTGTTGAGACGCAGTGGACGGCAGAGGGGGAGGGGGTCGGGAGTGATGAGGCGAGGGATCCCTCCTGCGTCTGACAGAATAAGTTCTCGCCATGCTTCTACGCGGCTCAGTACCGTGCCGATCTTGTGGCGTTTGAACGGGATATCAGGATGGCTGATAACCTGCGTGGAGAGGACTTGGAAAGGAGACTTGGCTTTATTGTTCCCTATGATACAACAGCAGAGGGCAGTGACAAATTGGCAAAAGATTGGGTTTTGTTGTCAAGTAGCAGCAGGACTCGAGAATGTCCTCAGAAAGGGACTATGAACTACACACAATCAGGGTGCGGCTCTGTTTACCGGGGCACGATTGCGCTCAATAGTGCGAAGCCACTCTAGATGCACCTCCCACATGTCAGGGAATGGTCTTGGCTGGCCATCCGGCGGATTCTGAGCAGCCTCGATAGCAGCTAGATAGAACTCCCACGGGTCTTGTCCATCCCACGGGTCGACTTCCAGCTGTCCTTCGTATTCTTCGGATGGGGAGTATGGAGGGAGCTCAGGGTCTCCTTGGAGATCTTCTATTGCACTTGCACCTGGCTGATTCTGATTGCTCTCTGGATGCTGTTCAGAGCTCACAAGCTGAAAGTACTGACTAAAGTCACCGTCGTTGTCGTTGCCTGCAGGATTCTGCTCTGCTGCTGGCTGGTTGCTCTCCGGGTGCCGTTCAGTGCTCACAAGCTGAAAGTACTGACTAAAGTCACCGTCGTTGTCGTTGCCTGCAGGATTCTGCTCTGTTGCTGGCTGGTTGCTCTCCGGGTGCCGTTCAGTGCTCACAAATTGAAAGTACTGACTGATGTCAGCGTCGTTGTCGTTGTCTGCAAGGTTCCGCGCTGGTGCTGACTGATTGCTCTGCTGACGCCGTCCAGCTATCATAAGGCGACAGAATTCATCCAAGGTAGGATCGTCGCCGTAGGAGAGTCCAGGTCTCACAAGTTGAATGATTTCATTGAAGTCACTCTCGTCGTCTTCGTGATTCTGTCCAGAGGGCTCAAATAGAGAGTATGGCGGAGGCTCACGGGCGTCACTCGTGGCACGAGCCTGCTGTCCAGTCAGACGAGGGACGTTGTCCTGAGAAAATAGAGCCATGTCAGTGACTGAAGTTCAAGTCGCAGATGGAGAGAACGGCAAACGTACCACAGGTGGAACCCTGCGCTCAGGTCGACGAAGACGATTCCAAAAGCGCCTGGCAGGAGTTTCTCTGTTCGAGTTCGAACCACGCGAGACACCTCTGCTATGCTCAACTTCCTCGTCGTAAGGATATGGCGGAGGGGGTCCAGCCGGGGGAACTGGGATCCGTCCCCTGCCTGAGCCGATCGGTTCCCTGACTGAGTACAGGTCGAAATCAGAGTTCTGCTCGCTGGTGTAAGGACTGAGGCGCTCGTTGAAGGAAGCCGTCGGCCAAGCTGCGTACTCTGGCTGATGCCGAGTGCGATTGGAACGGGTCTCCCTAATGCTCTGGTTACGCTCCACCTGCTGGAGTTCTCTCTCGGGCTGATAAAGTTCCTCGCTGATGGGCTCTTCCTGAAGTTCGTTGCCTCCCTCTGACATCTTGGAGACGACCGCCATTTTATATGTTATTTCTCTCTGATGAGATGAGGTTTAGGACTGAGCCTGAAAGAATAACAATTCCTTTCACTTGTTTCTTTCTTAGGGGAAGACTGCAAGGAGGAAAGAAGAGCTCTGAGATAACAGAAGGCTATGAGCACCTGGAATGCGAGAATAATAGTGTCACACGAACAGGAGAACGCGAGGTGACAAGAAGAACACTTACTCGCGAGGAATTTATCTCGCTTCTTTCTTCACTGTGTGTGGGCTGTGAGCTGTGGCAGGTCCTTAAGCGAGCATAGTGAATAGACCCTACACCTTCACATCTGCTTGGAGCAATGTGTTGCCTATGACGTCTGTAAGGTTCGTTCAATTCTAAAAGGGCAAAGGAGAAGCGATTCATCATTTGTATAGAAAGAGAGGCATCTTCTCTATGTCGTACATCAGACAAAGCAGGTTGTAAAGGAATAGAGAAATGGACTTCACGGAGCCATCTGGATGTCGCAGGGACATTAGGAAAGGTCTGTCCCTATGAAGGTACAATATGAACAGGGACTAGAGATTCCCTGGAGAGCCAACAGGATTGACTCCATGTTAGGGTTCCTGACAACCTCCTGCCGTGGGTCTCTTGCTGAGCTGCTACGACTTGGATTTTATCCTGAGTCACCTATCATGGCTGATCGATTCGAAGAGACGAGGCTCTAAAGACAGTAAGAGCTGCAAATGACATGTACGGGATGAGCATACAAGAATCCTGACGACGGAGATCGAGTCGGTCATCGTTGTGGTGATGTGTAGTCTATTGAGTATTTACAGCGATTTCGTGGCGACGAAGTAGATATCAAACGACCTTTAACCTGGGTTTTGGCATTTCTTTCGACCGTATCCCTGATGTTGATCTCAATATTGACTTGTCGGTGTCTCCTATCCCTAGGTAATGGACACGAGAATGCTTTGAACGCAGCGGGAAGAACCCCCTTGTGAAATTGGAGAGAGACACAGAAGTCACCATTAGAGCATCACTCAATAAAAGCATAGTACGAGATGCTCGTCCTACATGACGTTGGCGAGACGCTCACTACCGGTCAAGATGCGAAATAGGATCTACTGTATGAATTTTATTTCACTCTTAGTGTATCCTCATAGACATTCATATCAAGCATGCAACCATAGTCATCAACGATAGATCCATCATCCAGTTCCAGCATCATGCGATTATTTATGAGCTATGAGAAACAACTAGGTTAGCGGCCTCGCTTTAGGTCCAACTTTAAGATGAAGTGCAACTTACGAATTCCCTCTTCGGGCTTAGGCTCAATGCCAACAACCTCGGCAGCAGTCTTGACCTCTGCTGCCGTCTTGTCTTCCTTCATGAAGGGGAAGGCAAGAACCTCCTTGATGCTGTAGTTGTCCGTGAGGAACATGACCAGACGGTCGATACCCATACCCCACCCACCGGTAGGAGGCAGACCATACTCCAAACTTGTGCAGAAGTTCTCGTCAATGAGTTGAGCCTCGTCATCCCCCTGGTCTTTCTGTCTGGCCTGCTCCTCGAAACGGAGACGCTGGTCGAAGGGATCGTTCAACTCGGTGTATGCGTTCACGATCTCCTTCTTGCAAACGAAAGCCTCAAAACGCTCACAGAGACCAACGTGCTGGCGGTGGTACTTGGCAAGGGGAGACATCATCTGGGGGTGGCCAGTGATGAAGGTAGGGTTGACGCAGGTCTCTTCGATGAACTCGCCGACCAGCTTGTCGAGCATGCGGGCGTTGGTCAGAGGAGGCGAGCATTCAACGCCAGTCTTCTTAAGCACACGCTTGAGGAACTCGCCAGTTTCAGCGGTGTGCAGCTGATCTCCAGGAGGGAACTTCTCGCCAGTGGCCTCCTCCAAGGCAGGGATCATCTCTACCCGTCTCCAGGGTGCCTTCCAGTTGACGTTGTAGACCTCACCAGACTGAGTGTGGAAGGTGGTCTCATACCCACCGGTAACGTGCTTGACCAGACCGGAGATTAGCTCCTCAGTCAGGTTCATAACATCGTATACATCAGCGTAAGCCCAGTAGAACTCGCAAGTGGTGAACTCAGGGTTGTGCGTCAGATCAATGCCCTCGTTACGGAACTGACGACCAAGCTCATATACACGCTCCAGACCACCGACAATCAGCATCTTCAGGTACAGCTCGGGGGCGACACGCATGAACAGGTTCATGTCAAGGTCGTTATGGTGGGTAATGAAGGGCTTGGCGGTAGCACCACCGGCGATGGCGTTCATCATGGGGGTCTCGACCTCGATGAAGTCCCGGCTATCGAAKAAGTTGCGCACGTAGCTAACAATCTTGGAGCGAGTGACGAAGACATTGCGGGATCTCTCGTTCATGATCAGATCCAGGTAACGTTGGCGGAAGCGCTGCTCCTTATCCTGGAAACCGTAGTGCTCCGAAGGGATGGCGTGCAAGCAGGGCGCCAGGAGAACGACCTCGGTGGCGAAGATAGAAAGTTCACCGTCAGCGCGGTTCTTGGGGCTGGTACGGCCAGGGAAACCGACGACACCAACGATATCTCCTCTGCGCAGGTGCTCGTGCTGAGCCTCGAAGGTGACATCGCCCGTGGCGTTCTGGGCCTGGCACACGACCTGCACCTTAACACCTTCGGCACGGATATCGTAGAAGAAGAGCTTGGAACCTGAAGAACGCTTGGTGTAGATTCTACCGGCGATACGGACGGTGACATCGGGCTTCTGCTCGCCCTTGGCAAGACCATCGTAGGTCTTGAGGTATTCGCGCAGGTCATCGGTGACCTGGAACTTGTGAGGGTAGGGGTCGGGCTGCTTGGTCTCGCGCAGCTTGTTGATTCGCTTGCTACGGATCTCGAAGTATTGCTATATTCAGGAGCAAATATTTTAGTCACGGATCCCGACAGCTTCAAGTAACCTCTGGGTTTCGAAGAGTGCAAATCAACTTACGTTAGCAGTCAAGTTAGCCTCTTCCTCCTCAGCGGAGACCTTCTTCTCAGGCTTAGGAGGAGCATTGGCCTCCTTCTCTTTCTTCTTAGCCTCCCTCTCGCGCAGCTTCTGGCGCTTCTTCAATTCGGTCTTGGAGACTCTCTCGCCCGTGACCTCATCGAGCAAAAGGTTGGCCACGGAGGCCTCAACCTCGTTGACTGCGTTGGAATCCGCCATGTTGAATCAATAGAGCTTTTATCTCTCTCGTTCGAGTAAACACAGCCAGGAGAAGCCCGATGGCAAGAAATCGAGGAGGAGAGGCGGGTTTTGGTGGGTTAGGTAGAGGAGAAATGCCAGAGAATTTTGGGCCTGACTCATGAATGGGAGACTGTCATTGGCTGCTGCTTTGAACCTCTACCACAGTAAACGGAACGGCCGATAACGGCCATATGGATACTACATCTTTCTACATTATACAACACATAAACATCCTGAAAAGGCTCACTGCATTTTGAATCACTTTGTTCATCGCATGCCATAAAGAATTACTGAAAATTTGATGTTTTCATCGATTGGGGCTTAGGGCATAGGGCTTGGACGTGGGGCTGGGTTACCCCGCCTTTGATGCTTCCAACCATCCCGCCTTATCACCGGTACAAAGCCAACCTCAACTTCAAACCAAGATCAACACGATACTGCCTAACCGGAGGCTTGGACATCATCAAAGACATGCATATCTTAGCATGAAGCCAACACAATACATCGATTCCAGTCCGAGCCCAACAACCAACAAACAGCATCATCAGCCAGCTACCGGTCCGAAGGGAAAGCTGGACCAGTCTTCGGGTGGTTGAGACTTAATGGCCGGGTCAGACTCTGCGGATTCCGCAGCATCGTCCTCCTTCTTAGCTGTTGCAAGCCATTCCTGGGCCTTGAGGACCTTCTCTTTCTCCTTCAACAAGTACTGCCGGCGTCGCTGGCGTTCGGGATCTTCTGCCATCAACTCCATGCAGCGTTCAACAGCTGGGTTCTGTCAGTCATTTGTCACTAAAACATCTCTTGAATGGGGAACAGACCATTTCCATCGAAGATTCGTAGTTCGTTCTCAATGACTGCAATCAGTTCTTCACGGCATTTGGAGAACAGTTTCGTATGTACACTCTGACAGATCGAGTCGATGAACCGGGAACTCGCTATTTCATAGTAGCCACGAGTCGTCTGAGGACTATTAGCATGATACTCGAACCAGGATTGGTAGGACTCACCGCCATCATTTTGAGCTCCTGAACAAATCTGTCAGGGCCGAGCTCCGCAGCAGTGAGTTTCTTGATCTCAGCGTCGCGGCGTGGGTCTCCCCGAGGGATTTTGCCTTGAAGATCGAGAAAGCAGTGCGACCTTGCTTCATGCCGGCGAGCTTTCAGATACTTGTACGCGTTTTCTGTGGCCTGCTCAAGAGCGGAAATCGCCATGGTAAAAGGCTTGTTATGCTCAATATTGTAGTTCTCTTGCGCGTGTCTGAAGTGCTCCTTGCGGAGTGTCTGGAGGTAGTTGTCAATGATGCGTTTAAGCTCTCTGTAGAGACTGGTCTGATAGTATGGCGTAAAGACCTCTTTGAGTTGTCTCATCAACATGTCCCTCACTAACTGGTGAGTAGCCCCCAAGAATACTTGCATTGGTTCGTCCCAGTGCTCAACGCTCAGCTGGTTCATGACCTCCACAGCTTTGGGGTCCGTCTGGTCGGGAATACCAGCACGATAAGAGTCCTCATTTATTTCTCTGATTTCTTCCCAAGTAAACATTCGTGCGGGACGACCAAACCGATTAAAGTGCTCTGTATAGTAACCTGAGGGCTTCGGGGTCGAGGGCTGTTCTGGCTTCGGCTCCGCTGGTGTTGGAGTAGGCCTATCGCATGGGGTCTTGCGTTTCACATTCACGCTCACTGATCGCTGTATTGAGGTCATTTCGCAGTCAGAGTCGGCGTCCTCACGCGCAATGGGAATGGCCATCTTGTCTGAATGGGCCAGAAGCTGAACAGTTGGCCTGGTCTTCAGCAGAGCTCTTTTAAAGTCCTTTGCAATG